TGGATTATTTCTGAAGGTAATGAAGCCAAACATCTTAAGGATGGGCGTTTGATTTTTTTAAAAGGGATCTGAGCAAGTCAATGTGTCAGGGAAAAGACTGTAAGAATAAGGAAGCCAATCCCTTTTAATTCAAAACATGTATAAACAGATAATTAAGAATTGGCTGGAATCCATTTTAAAGTCTTGGAAGTAAGATGGTATGGTAGGAATGTTAGCAATTAAATTACTTCATCACTGAAAATATTATTAATTCAAATTAAAAGAAGTTACATCAGAACAACCATTTAGTTACATCAGAACAACCATTTACTTTATTCCCCTGAAAATTATCCATAAGATTCTCTACAATATATCCTGTATGTAGACTGTATATGCCCTGAAAGTATGTGTGTGTGTATTCAACTATTGTTAACTTTTCAAAGATATTATCTGATTTTTCATTTTCTTAAACATACCACACCATCTTAAAGTACCATGACTTAGTCAGCTGATTAAAAAAAAATCACTAATCAAACTAATTTTCTGTGTTTTGGACATGCTTAAGAAGGCACAAAGGAATCATAAACAAAACTACTCTCACTATCAAACTGTAAGGAGACTTCCTCCAAGAATGACAGTCTTTCCTGGCTGAGACATTACAGGTCATCTTCTCTTTCTGGAACAAGAAAACACAGGGAATAAGGCATGCTGGTCATGAACAACTTCACCCAAAGGACTATGTAAGTGAACTTACAAGAACTGCTAAATGTACACACATTCCCTTCTCTCTCTAAGAAGGCTCTACCTGGGTGGTGGTAAGTGGACTAATCATTTGGGAGGACAAAAAATCATTTTTAAAACTAGGACCGATGGTTTAAATATACTTAGATTTTAGTGATAACATCCTAATTTGTGAAAAGAGGATAGGGATATAATATCTATTCACATTCTTTCTTTACAAAATCATCAATCCACAAAAATGTATGTCTCTTATTTTCTTAAAGGAAAAGATCCACATGTTTTTCACCCATAATTGACATGAAAGGAGGATCTTTTCCCCTTCCACCAAACACTAGAGCAACTGTGAACTCACTGATAATCTCGAACAGATGATCCAATCCTATTTCTGACAGCTGAGTTAAAACCAACCAACCCAAAATGCAGACATCATGATGCAGTGTCTTTATGACAGCAATAGGCAGGTGTTTTTTTTTTTTTTAATTACATGCCCTTATTATTCTTTCTTCCTGTTGTTAACAGTAAATCCTGAAATATTCTATACAAGTGATTGTTGGGCTGGAAAAAAGAAAGAAACGCTAATGCAAGTATTTATACCTTCTGCAATGAAAACAAGATATTATTGCTTTGCATGACCTTTCCTAAATATGGGATACAGCATTTTACACAATAGTTTCTTGGTTCATGCTTCAATTACTGACCTTTACTGTGTAGCAAATTAATGCAATTTTCATTGTAATCCATCCGTACAAATAAAGTCCACATAGAAGAATTTCACATACGGAATCTAATACAAATAGGAAATGTCAGCTGATTGCTGTTGGCTGAACTTAGCCATTATCTGTTTGTTCTGGGGTCCCCAGCAAACTATACTCGTAACAAGCAATTTCTTGCATGGGGCCATCAGGTCTAGGAAAGATTGCCTCTCTTCAAAGTTGAGTTTGTACCTTCAGTTTCCTAAGAGCCAAAAACCTAGTTATCCAAGTGTTCTATGTTGTAACTGAAAGCCCACCAAAGAAAGGAAGGCAAAATTGTGGAGTCTGATTTGGTTTCGAAAAAAATACAGGGAATTACCGTGGACTTTTAACAATGAGAAGAAGCAAGAGGCTACGGTGATGTCATTTTACAGCCATCCCTGTTCCAGACAATAAAAGGATGACAGACCCCAGACCTTGTCCTGGTCTGTGCAGCGGAGACAGACAGAATATGGGAACACGTCCATCTCCCGAGGAAGTTGTGCCAAGGGGCCCCCAGCACGCTTTCATCTTCCACGGTTGTCCGTGATGGTATTTGGTGGGAAGGGGCGCTGGCAATTAAGGAGTGTCACTTTCAAGATGGATAGTTTGAGTAGAAAGGAGTTCCCCTCCTCTCCTGGTTTGGAAGGAGATGGCTGGATGTTTATAATTTGTAAACAGTCCATCTCTCACTGGGTGTGTTACAGTTCCCAGAAGCCCGTCTGTCATGTCTAACACACAACAGAAGCCAGAAGGGCGCTGTGGGGACGCCCCCGGAGTCAGAACACTGTGGAGGGGAGTGGCCCAGGGCCTCCTTGCTTGCGGGACCAGTTCTGGGTGTGAAGGCTGCTCTACATGGAGAAGCAATGATAAAGCCTAATAATCTGTAAGTGGAGGTGCGCTCCGGAGGTCTTCCAGTTGAAAGTCCCTCTAGTTCACACATCTCTTAGAGAAGTAACAGTGCAGAGATATGGAAAAGGGCTGAAGCGTGTCAGTCTCCCCTCACAACACAAGGCTTGTGTTCAGCAGAAGAGGCCTAAACAGAAGTCAACCTTTCACTTCAGAGCTATGCCTTCAGAAGTTTCCAGGCTGTTGCTGTTCAGTCGTGAAGTCGTGTCCCACGCATTGCGACATGGCCTGCGGCACGCCAGGCCTCCTTCATGGAGCACAGTTTGTGGTGGCGAAGGGCTTGTGGAGCTCAATGAAGCTATGAGCCATGCCGTGTAGGGCCACCCAGGATGGGCGGGTCACAGCGGAGAGTTCTGGCAAAACGCGGTCCACTAGAGGAGGGGATGGCAAACCACTGGAGTATCCTTGCCCCAAGAAGCCCATCCACAGTATAAAAAGGCAAAAAGAAGTTTCCACAGAAGTATGAAATTGAGGAAGCGAAAGAAACAAGACAATACGGCACTCTTAAAGGCCCTACAAACATACTACAATCAATCAAAGTATCTCAAGAACGGAGGTGTCCTGGAGGAGATGTGGAGACCCCAGTGCCGACATCCTCAGTGTGGGTGGGCTGATGTATCTTCTGTGAGGAGGGTGATGCTTAAAGGACAGCAAGAGCTCCCAGGTTCATCCATATAGATCACAGCCCAAGTGGTTTTCCCTCCACACCCCCAGAGAGCCCTTGAGGTGCCACAATGGAAAGTTAGACCATGCCAACCACTGCTCTAAACTTTCATGGCTGATATTTTTAAAATACTCTTGTTTGACTGCACTGGGTCTTCTATGTGGCATGCAGGATCTCTGATCCTCACTGCAGCATGTGAGATCTTTAGTTGCAGTACATACAAACTCTGAGTTGTGGCATGTGGGATCTAGTTCCCTGACCAGGGATTGAACCTGGGGCCCCTGTGTTGGGAGCTTGGAATCCCTTCATGGATGACTTTATTGCCTTCCTGTTTACTCGACACCACTCTTTCATTCATCACCTTCTTATTGGATTTCTTCTCTCTTAGAGGGGATAAAGCCCCACAGTCACAATAATCTCTCTAGGGTGGGTGACATCTTCCATAGGTGCCTCGTTAATACAGACTAGACCAAAGAGAAAGAAATCTTCCTCACTTCCAACCTTTGCTTAATAAAATTGATGATTACTCCTTGTGTAGCTTTAAAATAATTCCATTAAAGATTGAAGGCAGGAGGAGAAGGGGACGACAGAGGATGAGACGGTTGGATGGCATCACCGACTCAATGGACATGAATTTGAACAAGCTCCAGGAGTTGGTGATGGACAGGGAGGCCTGGCGTGCTCCATGGGGTCGCCAAGAGTTGGACACAACTGAGCGACTGAACTGAACTGTGTCTCCTGTGGTGAAACATCCCCAAGGGCACATTAATTTAGCTGTGGCTACTTTTTAAAATGATTTCATGTATTTATTTCTGGCTGCACTGAGTCTCTACTGCGGTGGCTTCACTCGTGGCAGAGCGCAGGCTCTATACCACAGGCTCAACAGTCGCAGCCCATGGGCTTAGTTGCTCTGAAACATGTGGAATCTTCCCAGGCCAGGGATTGAACCCAGCACTGGCAGGCAGATTCTTCACCACTGAACCACCAGGGAAGTCCCTAGCTGTGACTATTTTTAATGTTCAAGGACTGACATCACTCAGAAGCCACTCAGGTCAATTCATCAAGAAGAAAGTGGCATCATGGGACTTTCATTCTTGAAAGGGTCCCGATTCTCTTTTTAAAAAGTCACACTTTATTAGTTTGCTCTTAATGATCATTTTAGAACGACAAGTAAGATGTACTTTGTAACCTGCCCAACTTCCTTCAAATGGGCAAAAAGCATCCTGCTCCTTTGATGGATTTTAAGGTTGTCTGTGTCATGAAGTTGGTGTTTTTGAATTCATTTCTGTTTCCTGCACATTTTATATCAGACCCTTAGCTTTTCCCTTTCCCTCTCTCGCCTCTCTCCTCTCCTGTCCACCTTCTACACACTATCGCCCAGAACCCGGCAGACCCACAGGTTCTAGGGGACTGGGCGACTGTGAAGCTAGTAGCATCTCATCTGGCATTTCATTTTTTTTCTTTCCGTTTTATTCCAGAAGGTTTGTCTGAAAGCGTAATGACAACAAAGCAGCAGATTTGAGAGATTCTCCCAGGAGGAGAGAAAGGACAGATGTACCCAGACGTAGAGCTGAAAACGATGCCAGCAACAGCTGGGCAAGTGACAGATTCTGAAGCGGGTGACCCACCCCGCAGAGTGCAGACATGAGCCTCAAGGAACAGCGACTGCACTTGATTTCCTTTTGCCTTCCTGGACTACCTTTCATCTACCTTTCATCCACCAAGGGGAAGGCTACACTTTGCGTCAAATGACAGGCCTCCGAGTTAACAGTTCAGTTACTCCTTGTATTCCACCTCTTTTCATCTGCACTTAAAACTTGAAAAGGGATAACTTTTACACATTATGAGAATTTGATCACTATACTGGTCACCCTACGGTAGTAAAATGATACAACAGAGCTTGACTCAACCAGCTAGAATGCCATCGACCAAAAGCATTCATGCTGCCTTTCTTGTCCTTTCTGGAGCATACCCACCTTGTCATCTTCATCCTCCTCCTCATCCATGTCCGGGCTCTCCTAAGAGGAAAAACCACAACATGTGAATAAAACATCAACTGAAATGACCAAGTACAAACACATGCATACCCAGGCTTCAAGTTTTCCTACATCACTGAAACACTCGTCTTTTTTAAATACACTGTGCCCTCTTAAAAAAGGACCCTTTTAGAGTTAAAGGATGCTGAAACAAGACTGTAAACAATATGCATGATCTACATAAAACTGTGAACTATAAATAAAGCTATTAGGCGAGTGCCCTTTGAAAGCAGCCAGCTTTAAAAACCGCACTGCCAAGTTGTACCTTCTGTAAACAGTTTTGTTCTTATTCTTGACAAATGAACCAGCTGCTGTGTTAAGGCTGAGAACACCATACTCCGTGTGTGCTGGGCTCATTGCTATAATGACTGCACTTTTCCTCTGGGGCCATTACCGAAACATTAGACAGTAGAAAATGCATTAGTCTGAATGTAATCAATCTCAAGAATAAGATACAGGTTTCTATACAGTATTATTATTTTCCTTGGGCTTTGGAGTTGGGGGGGTGGTGCAGATGAGGGAAGGAAACTCCAGGTTCAGATCTGGGCTAAAGGGGGGCCTGCCTTTAGTTCTGGGGCCACAGCACTAGCGGCGCTGCACACGGAGGCTTGTCCAAATTCATTTAGAAATTCTGGCTAGTTAATGGGTACGTTTGAGTCATATTACTGCTACATTTAAAGCTAACACATGCTGGTACACAATCCAATGATTTGGGAGCTCTGAAAGAACACTGGGTATCAGAAAACTCACGTGTATTTTCAGTTTAAACACTTACCTTTCTACTTAACCTTGCAAAACACAGGCATATCAAAGTAGCTGCCATTGTCCCAACAGAAAAAAGAATGGTCAACATCATGCTTGTACAAGGGAGGGAATAACTCTGAAGACCTCCATAAACCACTGAGCAATTTCTTCAGGCAGGGCTGGTACTGAATTACCTCCTAGAATTCCTACAAACTCCACCGAGCAGTCTGTGGAATGCTTACTGATACTGGAGAACTAACCTATTCAATGCTAGCAACAAGCCTGTTCCATGAGAGCAAATGGATAACAAAGGATAAAAATGAATACAACGAAAACCTGCTAGGGGAGGAAAAAACTGTAATTAGGAGTTAGAAGTCTTCATCTTGAGACAAAGTCTTCAGTTGGAGACCTTGTCCCAGCACTGTTTTGCTGCGTGACTTTGAGCAAATCACTCTGCCACTCTGAACCTTAGTTGCATCAAGCATGAAATGAAAATAGTAGTTCTTGACTCCTTCAGGGTTATGTTACCAAGTTTAAATTAGATAATGAATTACAAAATGTTTAGTAAATTAAAAAATATTTCATATACAAATATATATACATACACATTTATACATATATACACACAAGAACACTTACGTAACCATATTTACTTACACACACACACACACACACACACACACATATATGCTATAAACAGGTACATCATATATATAGCTGAAAAGTAAAATCTGATTAAAATTGTAAAAATGTTAGTTGAACACAGCACTTCTACAACAGATGTTTCTCTGTAAAAAGATTCTTCATTTGTAGCTCTGTGAAACTTAATCCTTACATAAACTTGTATTTTAACGCTATTTATTTGTTAGTTGGTTCTAGCATCTTCAGGCTCCTCATTATCGATACAAGCACATGCTTATTGAACTACACGATCAAAACCCAAACAGAATTTTGAGTTTGTCTGAGGTTTTACTCCAGGCCGTCACTCATTTCCCACCACTCCAAATGAAACCAGAAACATTCCTTAAATATCTGTTATTTCAGAGACAATTATTTTTTAATAATCAGAACATTATAAGGAAAAATCGGTGAAGATGGTCAACTTGAGTCTTAGAAAACCCAACATGGAGGTCATTTTTTTCTAAAGGATGTTACCAAGTCTCAAGACCTTTGATTTTTGTTTTGAAAACTTGGTTCTTAAACCTGTAATAACAAGCTTATATCACAAAGCAAGTCTATACATACAAGTTCCTTCTAAAATAGAGCAAAAAAAGATTCTATGGGTTGGAATAAGAGGGGTAGGGGAGGGAGAGATGGAGAAAAAGTAAGAAAAGTAGATGTGGGGGAATGTTGTGAAGAGGCCCTGCCCGTGTTTCCTTTAACACCCCAGTGAGCTTGAGAATTACAGAAAAATCCTGGGCACTTTAGAACAAAGGGGGCCGTGCCCACCCTCTCTCTGACTTCCCTGGAAGTGTGCCAGCCTCAGAGGACCCCCTGAGGCCTTAGGCTACAGGAGAATATTGCACAGGAGAACTATCTGGGGAGGTCTGAGGCACCTCCCACTTGTGTTTCCCTGAAGGGGCTCAAGAAGCCACCAAAGGCTTGTTCTGCATGTGTGCATGCTAAGTTGATTCAGTTATGTCCAACTCTGTGACCCTGTGGACTATAGCTCACCAGGCTCCTGTCCATGGGATTTTCTAGGCAAGAATAATGGAGTGGGTTGCCGTGCCCTCCTCCAGGATATCTTTACGACCCAGGGATCAAACCTGCATCATTTACGTCTCCTGCATTGGCAGGTGGGTTCTTTACCACTAGTACCACCTGGGAAGTAGAGAATCTTATTCCCAGGAATGCCATGGACACCCAGACAGGTGCTGCCGGCCTGGAAATGCTGACGAAAAACCAGATGGCTCACTCAAGCTAAGGAGGCAGGCCCAGACACAGAAACATAGATTCTCCAGAAGGAAGACTCCAGATTACACATGACGAATATCTTCCCTGTAACGTGAATACATGAGCAGTATTGCTCCTCCAGTCTCAAATGCAGTGGATCGGGTCATGCTGTGGTGGTGGTGTTTTACTGGTAACACACTTTCTTTTCTAATCAAATATCAGAATTATTGGAATCTGGGCTCACCTGGCTGTCCTGGATGCTGCCACCCTTCCCTCTCGCAGTTCCGATGGAATTGTAGACAAAGAGGAGCAATAAAGCCAGAGGGATCATGTAGAGTTCAAAGTTCCAGACAGTGACTAAGAACACCTGATTGGAAGACAAAGAGCAAATGATTGCTTGCAAAAACAGTATGGGGACAATCCTCAGCTCCTACTCACTGACTTCAGGAGATTAAACCCAGGACTCTCTGTATAGTTCCAAGCAGATTAAAATACAAACACACACACACACACACACACACACACACGATCATTAGCACAGTTTTAGAACTAGTAGCAGAATAAGGAAGGCAGAGAAATGAGCTGGCCCATCGCACCCTGGAATAGAGTTCCCATATTTGGAAACCTCATTACTCTACCAACCTTATTTAGTTTTTTGCTGCTGGACTTGGCACGCCAGAATACAGGTAAAGTACACAGCATGGAAAATCCAAAGGTCACTAAGAGGCTACAGGCCAATTTTTACCAAGAGTGAGATTTATCTGAACTAGGGCCGTGTGCTGTGCTCCATGGCTCAGTCGTGCCCAACTCTTCACGGCTCCATGGACTGGAGCCTGCCAGGCTCCTCTGTCCACGGGATTTCCCAGGCGAGAATTCAGGAGTGGGCTGCCATTTCCTCCTCCAGGGGATCTGACTGACCCCAGGATCTGGCCCCGTCTCTTGTATCGCCTACACGGGCAGGTGGATTCTTTATTACTACTGCCACCCAGGAAGCCCCAGAGGGAATGATTCCTTTTCAAGCAGGCTGCCAGTGCTGAAAAATTCAAATACTTTGGATAAAAACTTTAGTTTTCTGAAGTCTCTTTAAAATTTTTTAAAATTTGGATGAAATATAGCTGATGTACAATGCTATATTAATTTCTTCTGTACAACAAAATGACTCAGTTATACACATATATGTTCTTTCTTCATATTCTTTTCCCTTATGACTTGTCACAGAATATTGAATATAGTTCTCTCTGTTATACAGTATGACCTTGTCGTTTATCCATACAAATCTTAAAATCTTCCAATTTTGAGGCTAGATGGCCACAAGAAAATGATGATGAGTGTGAATCTTTAACACTTGAGGAGACCTAAGCTTTCAATTAGAATAAACAGTGTCAAAATTTTGCGATCATTCTGGAACTTTTTAATACTGCATTTTATAGATCTATTGATGGTATACATAAATCAAGTATATTCATTTCACGTGGTATATGGTACCCCATTACAATGAATGTTTTGCAATTTTTCCATTATATTCTCTTACCAATGAAAACTTAGGATGAAATAGTGGTTTTATTTTTTAATGCAAATATATTAATCTTCAACTTGAGGATTTTTGCCTTTACTATTCCGTGTTCTACTTAAGAAATCTATGCTACCCTGAGGTGATAAAGTGATTTCTTGTCTCTTCTTTCAAAAGATAACTGTGTGAGTGTGTGTGTTCCTTCTCTTGGTTTAGAGGTAGAAACAGGCACCCAACTTGAACTTCATCCTCATAGTTGATTTACAATGCTGTATTAGTTTCAGGTATACGGCAAGGTGATTCAGGATCACACACACACACACACACACACACACACACACACACACACATGTTTTTTTTTTTTTCCCTCAGATTCTTTTTCCTTACAGGTTATTACAAAATATTGAGTATAGTCAACTTTTAGAATTGGATTACTGAAGGGCTCCATACTTTGCTCACTGATTCTACATTCCCACTCTGTCACACATCAGCTTCCCACAGGACTGCTGTCTACAGACCCTCAAAGGAAGCGTTAGTCGCTCAATCGTGCCCAACTCTCTGCGACCCCATGGACTGCAGCCCACCAGGCTCCATGAGATTTTCCAGGCAAGGATACTGGAGTGGGTTGTCATTTCCTTCTCCAAGGAAGCTTCTCGACCCAGGGATCAAACCCAGGTCTCCCACACTGCAGGCAGTTTCTTTATTGACTGAGCTACAAGGGAAGCCATACAGACTCTCTAATCCCTTCTTCTGAATTACATTACTGTTCTTTCACCAGGACCACTCCAGTATCCTTGCCTGGGGAATCCCATGGACAGAGCAGCCCTGTGGGCTACAGTTCATGGGGTCGCAAAGAGTTCGATACAACTGAGTGACTAACATTTTCACTTTCAGTAATCAGATGGTATCTGAGTGCATAAGTAGATATTATTTCACTTTTAAAATTATCTTGGATTGTTCTTTGACTGCATCCTTCCACATGGATTTAAAAATCAGTTTGTAACATTCTACAAAATTCTTGGTGAAATTTTATTGCAAGAGCCTTCAACGTACTTAGTGTGAAGAGAACTGACATCCTGATAATGACCTTCTGAATTATAAGGAATATTTATTTCTCCATATACTCAGAACTTCATCTTTTCACTTCTTTTTTACATAATGATTTTGCATATGTTTTATTATTTTTTGGAAAGTAATTTAAGAGTTTTGATACTATTATGAATGGGATGATTTTCAAATTTATATTCTTTAGTTGGTTACTTACTTCTAGTTACAGGAACACTGATTTATATGTTTTTCACATTATTTCTGAGCCCTCTTATTACTTGTAGGGAATTGAAAATACATCGTTTTGGAGATCTGGTGTGTAAAATCCTATAAACTGTAAATCATGACATTTCCTTTAGCCTCCCAATCTATATGTTATTTATATTTTCTTCTAGTGCTAAACCTCTGTGCATTTTTTAATGAGCAAGTATAGAGTTTTTGAAATACTTTTTGAATCAATGTAGATCATTACATTACTGATATCTTCCAGTTTACTAACTGGATGGGCTTTATTAATTTTATTATTTAATAATATGTATACTCCTCTAATTTTCTAGGTGTTTAAAGGTTTCTTTTTCTTTTATTTTTTTGTCATGTTTTGTTTTATTGTGAACAACACAGAGAGAAGTTGAGAAAGTAGTACAGCAATTTCTCTATGTAAAACTAGCAATTTTCTTCATTGTTATCTATTTCCCTTTCCCTGTTCTTAAAGTTCTTTTAAGATTAGAGGTTTTAATTATACTCTAAAGGGTTACTATTTCTTAATTTCTATCTATTGGATAAGTGGAATTTTATTGTTCTTTCAAATTGCAAAATATAATTTCAAGTAAAAAGAGGCTGACGAAAAACTATTAAGAAAAAAAATAGGAAGCAACATATTTTTAATTTATTTTCTTCATTATCAACTATTTATATAATGTCTTCAACAAAATTACTTTTACACGAACCGAAACTAGAGGGACGGCTGTGCTAGACAAACACCTCGTTTATCATATTTGTCTCCCCAGGTATTGGTAAGTAAGCCCAGAAAGTGTTTTACAAAAAAAGTTTACATTCAAAGAACTTGAAATTCTTTAAGAGTGAGAAACTAGTACTTCTATAAACATTTTTAAAATCAATGCATAATTTTTACTTCTCTAATGGTGGATTAAGTTCCTTAACAACATCATCTAGCAAAAACAGAAACCCTTTAGGACTGGAGGGGAGACCAAGTATTTGAGAGTATGAAACAAAGTTAATATATTTCTCAGAGGAGTTGAAACCTTGGACCAAGAACTCAGATCTGCATGGGGCCACATGAAAAATTTTTGCATCTTTCGCTCAGGAAGAGTTGAAGACACAGAGATGGCACCAGTTGGTTAAAACTCAATAGAAAACCCTGCCAGTTTTCTAAATGCCTATGAAGGATGTAGGCAAAGGAGTCAGTGACAATCAGGGCCGCCAGAGAACACACAAGCACATCAGGAGGGGAGGGTAAGCAAAGGAAAATACCAAATTCTGCATGTGAACTCTGCTACAGCCTCTACCACACACACGGACCAGACTCGGAGGCCTCTGGACTGGGATCAAAGCTGCCACTCACGGCAGGTGTGACTGAATGGTCAGTTTGGGTCTAACAGAAGTAAATGCTTTCTTAAAAAACAAAACCAACCTTATTTGAAACAATGTAGGATAATTTAGTGTTTTCACCACATAATCCTCTTAATGTCTAAGATACGATTCAACATCACTTGACATACACAGAGTCAGGAGAGTGGAATCATTATCAAGGGGAAAGCAATCAACAGATGTCAAGTTCAAGGTAATGTACATGTTAAAATGATCAGACAAGAACTTCAGACCACCTATCAGAAATATGCTCAGTGGGATGAAGGAAAATGACATCATAATAAAGTTAGTAAATAAACGCACAAAATAATAAAAGGGAAAACTGTCCAACTAAAACATCAACGTCTCAAACTAAAAAAAAAAAATCAGTAAGTATGTTCAGGATCAGAATTTTAAAAAAAACTTAAGGAACTTGAAGAGATATCAAAAGAAATCACCTTATCTGAAAGCGAGAAAATAGTATGGAAATAAATGAATAGACTATTACTGCTCACTGAATAATTTCAAAAGTTCTAATATTCAGAACCTCAGAAAAAGAGGGAAGTTAAGAGACATATGTAAATAACTATTGGTTGAACACTTCCTAGAGAACTTCCAGCAGAATAAATTCAAAGAAAATCAGGCTTAGGCAAATAAATATATATACTTATATATACATATTATATACTAATACACATATATTAGTTGCTCAGTTGTGTCTGACTCTGCAACCCCATGGAGTGTAGCCCACCAGGCTCCTCTGTCGATGGAATTCTCCAGGCAAGAAAACTGAAGTGGGAAGCCATTCCCTTCTCCAGAGGATCTTCCGGACTCAGGGATCAAACCTGCATCTCTTGCACTGGCAGGTAAAAGAACTATTTACTATAGCTCTTTGGTGAAGAACCTGCCTGCCAATGCAGGAGATTTAAGAGTATGCAGGTTCGATCCCTGGGTCGGGAAGGTCCCCTGGAGGAGGGCATGGCTTCCCACTCCAGTATTCTTGCCTGGGGAATCCCATGGACAGAGCAGCCTGGGCGACTACAGTCCACAGGGTCCCACGGAGGCAGACAAGACTGAAGAGACTTAGCATGCATGCATATATGTGTCATAATCACAGTTCTGAAAAACAAAACTGATGAAATTCTGAAACCAACTAAAGATAAATGACACATTATGTACAAGAACTTAACTACCTGAATGTCCATGGATTTCACATCAGCAAC